TTCGAGCTACGCCCAGGGCTTCAAAATGCCCCCAGGGAACCTGAGCCCCCCAGCACCTCCCAGGCTGACCCATTGGGTCAGCGGGTCAAGCAGCTCTGCTCTTGTCCGTGGATGGAGACTGTGGCAACAGCAGCTCTTGGGTTAAGGAGAAGTAGGAAAGTAAACCGTGTGGATAGATGCAGGCTGATAGACAAATTCTTTTATAAGCTGGTGAGACAAAGCCAGGTTGGGCTGAGGGCTGCCCCTTTATCAAGGCTCCAATGAAGGCACCACCAAGGTCCCCTGTGGTACAGTTGCCACTGACCCCCGACCCCAGTGCTCCCCCTGGCAGGGCTCCTTGGCCAGGGGTGGGGCTCAGATCCTGGATCTGCCCCGAGAGCTGTGAGCTTGGGCAGCTGACTTCATCTCCGACTTCCCCATCCGAAGGCGGAGATGAGCAGACCTAACTCAGGACTCGTGTGCGGGTAAGACAATGTCGGGAAGAGCTGTCTGAACCTTTCTCTTCTGCGCCCTGGGCCTTGGGCACACTCTGGGGGGTCAGAACTTGCTCCCAGGTGGTCTGTATTGGGTCCTCGAAGCCTTGGTTTCACCCCCAGCGGTACTCTCTCCCAGGTCTGCTGAGGAGAAACCCCCGGAGCAAAGAGGTGGACTGTGGGCTGCCCAGGTCACTTTATCCTTTTCTACTTTATTACTTCAAATTAACAACCACAATAAAGCTCAAAAAAGTCCAATATTTACACAGGAAAAAAGTACAAAATTCCCCCCAAAGTTCTTCAGTATTTTTTTTTTCAGTTTTTTAAATTACAAAGTTATAAAAAGCTTTGCTCTTTAATTAAAAAAAAAAGAAAAGAAAAAGAAAGAAAGGGAAACAGAGGTAAATAAATTAGGAAATACACACACGGAGAAAACAAACAAAAATAAAAACGGGTGTTAACTAGGAGGGGTGGGTGAGGCAGCGCCCAGCCCTGACCCAGGCTCCTCGCTGGAGAGGCCGGGTGCAGGGGGGTGGCCCCCGGGGGTGTCAGGACCAGGAAATTCACCCAGACCCCAGGGGCCAGGTGCTTTCTGGGAGTCTCCAGGGACTGGGGACAGGGCTGCCGCAGGGTGGTGAGGGGCTGGTGGTGGCACGGACACTCCTGGTTGGGGGATGAGAACAGAAACTCCGCCGGGCAGGTGGGCAGGTCCTGCTGTCCTGGGAGATGCAGGTCACATACGCACACACAGGCACAGGAGGAAGCTCGGCCCCCATCACCTTAGCGCCCACAACTGAAGTCCCCTTGGTCCAAGCGCTCAGGGGGACACTGGGAAAAGCCCACGCGGAAAGCCAGCCTCCATCGCCCCGGCAGCGGGGCTGTCAGTCCCCTGTGGTTCTGAGGCTCAAGGACACCTGGTGAGACCATCTCCACCCAAACAAACCAGTCCCCAGGCTCCTGGGCCACCTCCTCATGGCCCGCAAGGCTGGGCTGTCCCTCTCCTGGCCTCGGCGGGCGTCTGGCACGGTGGCCTGGTGTCTGGGGAAGCCTTTGGCAGCCTGACGGCGGTGGCAGCAGGAAATGCAAAGGGACAAGAATCCTCGGTGCTGAGAGCATCTCATCTTCTTGCCGTTGGCAAAAAAAAAAATTTAAAATAAAAAATTAAAGAAACAAAATCCATCGTCGCTCTTGTGCTGGGTTTTTGCTGTTTTTGTTCTTTTGAGTGGTTTTTCCCCCATCTTTTCGTTGTTTTTTAAAAGAAAATACAGTGAAGACACTAAAAAACGAGAGAAAGATTAGAGGTGCATTTGCCTCTGGCCACCTACCTGCCAGACGCCCCTCACCTCCTGTCTCCTAGTCCCGAGTCTTTGCACTTGGTCCCCCGTCTGGGGCACACAGTAGGTGCTCCATTTCCACAGGAAGGACACTATCTCTCTCCTCTGGCCTCTCGGTGAGCAGCCACCCCAGCCACAACGTGCCACGGACAGGCTGGTCCCTGGCGTCAGGTCCCAGCTCAGTCTGTGCAATGACTCCTCGGGTGTGAGGCCCGGCCCAGCCTGTCGTGCACATGCTCCCTGGCTCAGACCCACACCTCCCCTTCCCCAAGCCCGACCCACAGTAGGAGCTGCTATCCACCACTCAAGGCCTCAGGCAGCCATGGGAGTCCCAGGAGGCTCACTCCTGGGCTTGTGGAGGCCTAAGGTCTTTGCTGACGGCAAATTATGTTAAAGCAAAGGCAGTGTGGAGGACAGAGAAAGGGGTTTCCAGCAGACATTAACGATGTGGGCCAGGCCTGCTCAGAGGTTTTCAACTCCCTCGAAGGCCCTTGGTTCTGGGTCCCTGGTACCATCTGCAACTCCCCTGCCCCTCCACAACACACACTGGTCTGCTCCCGGGGCGACAGGTGTGTCAACTCACCTAAGCAAATACTGGTCCGGTGGAGCTCCCCCTCACTTCCCGAGGTGGTCAAATGGCACGCTTGTCTTGGGAGGGAAGGCAGAGAAAGGGGAAGGGATGAGCTGCTGGCCTCGGGGCAAGTCTCCCCACGGAGCTGCACCCCACCCGCCAAGGCCCAAAAGCCGAGGGAAGGGTGTGTGACCTCCAGGCCATGCACAACCGAGCCTGGCCACCGGACGCCAGCTCCTGGCCTGACCTGCTGAGACCCCTCCACTGTGGGCCGGAGCAGGTCTCCTCCCACCTCTGCCAGGACATCCCCCTTGGTCAACCAGAATTCCCCTTCCCCAACTTTTCTGGCCCAAACATGCCCCCTAAGAGGGGCCACCGCACAGGATCCCAGCCCTCTATCCTGTGCTAAATGGGACATGCGGGGGCTTCCTGAAGGCAGGCAGGGGCTGTGAGCCCCTCCCCTGCGAGCTCCCCGCTGCCCACCCAGGCTGGGCCCCTGGCAGCGAGGGCTGCATCCCCGCTCTCCCACTTGCTGGCTGGAGCAGGTTATCCTGACTTTGCTCAATGGGGCCAATCAGATGTTGGAGGATTAAATGAGGCCAGGTCCCTGCTCGACAAACGGGGCTTGCTCCAAGGTTGTCAGACTCAGGGGACAGGGAGGAACCTGGGGGCCCTGGCTCAGCTGGGCGGCACGGCAGGACTGGGGTGAGGGCAGCTCACCTGTGAGGCTGAAATCCGGGAGACCTCTTGCCGCCCAGTAAGGTCGGAGGACGAAACGTTGGCCGGAGCGCCCCTGTGTAGCCTCATGCTCACCTTCCTCTCTCTGTCGACCCGTGAGATCGCTCTGGGAGAAGTATTGCCTGCAGGGCGAGGCCGGGGGAAGCCACCTTCAGTGTCCAGGGGCCTGACTGCCCCGGCCCCCCCCTTGGCCCAGCTCACTGCCCCAGGTCCCTGCTCACCAGCTTGCTGGATGCGGGAGGCTGGGGTGGAGGCCACAGGCTCGGCAGCACTGCGGAGCCGGTTGGCGGGGGTCCCCGTAGGCGGGCCGGGGGGCAGGGCCCGGGTCGCAGACCCCCGGAGCTGCCCCATCCTCTCCTCGCGCTCGTGCTCTCGCCGCTCCCGGTCCACGTCCTCGGGATTCCGGGCGGCACCCTGTGGGGAGGCAAGAGGCGGCCTGGTCAGCCCTGCACGGTCAGGGTGCTCTGGGGTCCAGCACCCCCGCAGGGCATCTTGGGGAAGGGGCATCGCAGAAACCCTCTGGTCCAACCTCCTCCCCCACAGCAGGAAAGCCCGAGAGGCCTGGCAACGACCCATGATCCCACAGCACAGAGCAACAGAACCACAACCTGCCCAGAGGAAGAAGGAAGCTGGGTGGGGGGGGGGGGGGGTCACTCTGCCCTGGTCTCAGAGGGCCAGTCAGGCTGGGAGGGCTAACGTCCTAGGGCCTCCCTGGCCCTCCCAACCTGGACCCTCCATGTAGAGAGCCCTCGGCTCCTCGAGGCTTCACAGCACAGCAGGGCAGATGCTCAGAGGCTAGAGAGGGAGTTACAAGGCTGCCGAGGCCAGGCCAGGACTCGAACCCGGCCTCCCAGCCGGGGACCTTTTCCAAGGGCTGCCTGTCCCCTGCCCCTGGACCTGGCAATGGCTCCTGGCAGGTGCCGAGGGGGCCACCACCACACAGATGCTGCCTGCCTTCACGTGGGCGCTCAGGGGAGCTGGAGAAAGAAGGGGCCAGACGCCCCACGGAGGAGGAAGACACCGAGCAGGCAGGCTGGGCAGAAGGGGTGTGTGAGCCCCAGGGGGCCTGGCCCCAGTGCAGAGGAAAGGGGAAGGCCCACAGCGAGGAGCACCGTATGGGAGCGGCATCCGGCCGCGTTACCTAGTTGGTCCTGGGGTCGTCCACAGGGAAGGGCAGGGGGCTGGCGAGAGGGGGGCCGCATCTGTGGAGGAGAGAGCTGTGGGCTGAGTTGGGGCCTGCTCATGGGCACGGGGTGCGGGCTCTTGCAAGCCCCGTGTCTCCCAGGGAACCAGCCGAGAAGGCCCTACTGTCTTTGGGAAACGGGGGAGGCCCTTGCCTTTAAGCAACTCTGGGAGGTAGTGGCTGGGGATCAAAATGGTCCCTGAAGCCTAGTAAGGAACCGAGGCCCAGGGAGGCCTCCTGACCTGCCGGGGGCCACATGGCTCACGGCAGAGCTGGGTGTGAACTAGTCCTGCTCTGCTCTCGGCACCCCCAGAGGACTTAGCAGGACATTCTAGAAGCGAACATCCCGTCCTCCCACCCACAGCCTGTCCAGGCAGGCAGGCCGGGAACTACCAGGGCTCCCGCTCCTGACCTCCAGTCCCCCTGTCTCCCCCTGGCTCCCACCCCCTCATTACAGGCTGCAGAGAGCAGCTCAGCCAGAACCACAGCAACCAGAGCGGCGAGAGCTGCAGCACCCACTCAGGACCCTCCTGCTGGAGGTAAGCTCTCACTCCCCGGGTGAGGACTCTGATGGGCTTGGAGGCGCACAGCCCGCCTTTGTGGCCGCAGCGGCCTGGGCCAGGGCCAGCCCCAAGGCCGGAGTGAGCTCCTCTCCATGTTTCCATCCGAGCCAAGTGACGCCCCGAGAAACGCATGTCAGGGAGGTCTCTTGGCTTTTATCTGCCCACAAGAAAAGACAAGGTAACATCCAGTCACCGCCTGCGCTGCGCGGACCGTCCTGGGCCCGGTCAAGTTTCTCCCTGGCAGCGGGTTGGCCTCGGACAGTGGCTGAACGCTGCACCCAGGCTCCCGGGTCTGCCGACTCCAGGCCTCACACTGGACGCTAGGGGGTGGCTGCTCCAAGGAGGGAGGCTCTCAGTCAGGGGCGGATCCTCCTGCTGACCAGCCTGGCCCAGTGCCCAGCATGGCACCCATCTGCTGGCCGGTGCTGCAGGCTTCCCGCAGGGGGCGCTGTGCCAGGGTCCTGGCTTCTGCTGAAAGGCATGATAGGTCCTTGGCCCCTGTCTGCAGGCGCTTCTGCCAGGGGGCGACTGGAGTGGTTGGCTCAGCACAGCGGTGGGGCTCAAGGCGCCCACACCTCCGGTCGCTGGCCTTCGCGCCAGAGGTCAGTGCTGGAGAAAGCCGCCGCACCTCTGCTCAGCTTGACTCCGGGGCCTCTTCAAAGGGGACCCCGGGAGGGGCCGGAGTGCCAGCCTGGGGGGGAGCGAGCTCGCAGCCCCACGAGATGAAATCTTGGCGGTGGACGATGCAATGGGAGGCTCTGAGGAGCCATCTACTGTCCACGGCTTTCTGTGATGGACATGTCCACGCCGGCCTCGCCAGACATGGCAGCCACTAGCCAGCCACCCGCGGCTCCTGAGAACTTGAACTGTGGCAAGTGCGACTGACACGTGACGTGTTCAGCTCCGATTAACTTTAATCGATGAAAACGTAGCCCTCGGAGCCAGTGGCTGCCGTACTGAACGACAATGCAACTCCTGTGTTTGGAGCTGAACTGACGGAAGGGCCGAGCCCCTCCCAGACCCAGGCTCTAGGATGACTTCCCACATGGTGAGCGAGGGTCCCGCGTCCGAGTCCCCGGAGGTGCCGTGGCGAGGAGATGCCGGGCCCTCGGCCACACTCCCAGCTGGAAGGTCCAGGGGAAAGGTGCCCACTGCCACCTCCAACCTCTCCCCTGGGGCCCCTGGGCCTGTGGAAACCCTGGTCTCTGCTCAGCCTCCACCCCACACCTTAGGGAGCAGTTCCAGGCCCCCCTGTCTGAGGCCCAGAGAGGAGGCACAAGACCACACGCTGCCCCCCATCCAGAACAAGGCCTCGGTCCCGAGCGCCCGCCAGAGCCGCTGAGGCCGTGGGGAAAGGAGAGGCAACTCGAGTGAAGCGGGTGCAGGGGGGACGTTTAATGAGCTCAGTTTCAGTACAGAGGCTGCTGACGGGCCTGGCTGAGCTGCTCCTGGTGCCCAGCCCCAGGCCCTCCAGGGCAGGGAACGTCACCCCTCCTTCCGGCTCTGTCCATCAGGCCGCTGATTCATCCCCAAGAATCCCTGGGCAGGGCCTTCTCCGCCACGCCCCCCCTACTGACACCCCCCCTCCCCCCACACCAAGGGACACCTCCTTGGGCCTGGCCCCGATGGGCTCAGGCACCTGGTGCTGTCAGAACTGGGGCCCTGGAGTCCAGACCATAGGCCAGCAGTTTTGGGGGGGCAGCTCCTCCACCTCCTCCACCTCCTCCACCGGCCTACCTGCAGGGCCCGGGGTGCCCAGGGGCGCCGGGCACCTAGAAGGGACAGAGAAAGCACAGCAGAGGCTCAGCCTCTTGTGCTCACCCGGCCGAGTGGTCAATCTTGGAAGGGCCAGGCCTCGGAGGGTCCTTACCAGTATGTGCGTGAGTACGCGGGCCCGGCACTGGGAGGGGGGTGGGGGCAGGGCAGCGCAATAGCCTCGCTGTCACGGGGCTGAGCCTGGCTCGAGGGAGCCCCCTTTTCCAGAAGAGACGTGAAACAAGTCATACGATTTCTGATGCCACAGCTCCAGGCACATTGACGACTCCCCCACCCCCACTGCCAGGCTCTCAACAGAGGGAGACAGAGCAGCCGCCTAGCAAGGCCCAGGGGCCCGTGACCAGGAAGAGGGAGACCACACTGAAGGGGTCCAGGCTGGCCAGAGGGGCTGCAGTGAAGGCGGCCGCCTGGGCCGTGCAGAACAACAAGAGCAGGATGGTGTAGGCAGCAATCATGACGGTAGGGGGGCCCGCCAGCGCCATCCACGCCCGGCCGCGGGGGCCTAGGAGGGACCGGAGGCCCAGCCAGGTCCTCCTGGGTCTGGTGGGAGGCAATGCCCCGCGCGGGCCCTGCTGACCGTAGCGGTACAAGCTGTCGGCATTGACGAGACAGGAGTGGGGGGAGCGTGGGGGCTCGAGGGCCCCGGTGACGTCACTCGCAGGGTCCAGCTCATAGCTCCTGTCCTCCGGGAGCCCCGCCCACCACAGGGTCACTTTGGCCTTGTGCGTCAGGGCCTTCCCCGACCAGTCCCCCAAGCCCGCCTCGGCCTCCAGGTGACTCACGAATTTGAGCATGTTCCAGTCGAAGACGTAGTCGTAGGAGAAGCCCTGCCGGTGGAAGAGGTTGCGGAAGAGCTGGCGCAGGTAGGAGTAGTCGGGCTTGTCGTCGAACCGCAGGGAGCGGCAGAAGTTGAGGTATGTGGAGAACTCAGCTGGCGGGTGACGGGGACAGAAGAGGCCACGGTGAGCCCCACGCTCCCGGGGCCCCAGCAGCCGTCCTACCCCCCACCGTCCCTACACTTTCCATCTAGGAGGGGCAAGACGAAGACAGAAGGGACTATGGCTCTCCCTACGGTGATGACCCCCGAACCTGCCCGTGAGCGGGGCCTCTGAGGACGAGGATGGCGGACCTGTGTGCAACGAAGGGGTGACCCCTCAGTGAGCAGACGCTGCGCCTCGTGCACAGCTCCTGTCACCCACGCTGGGTTAGGAGGTGGCAGATCAACAGCTGCCACGGAATCAAAGGACAGCCAGGAGCCCGAGGGGGACTCCCAGCGTGACCTGAGCCACGGGGGGGAAGACTTCCACTTCCTCCCTGAAACTGGGGGCGAGAGGGGTCTTCATCAGAACAGAAAACATACACATTGACCCCTGGCCCTGTTCCTGGCACAGAGCTCCTCACACCCTTGTCACTTCCCAAGTGATAAGAACAGCCCTGTCCTAGTATTTGGTCTTTGACCCTGTCCTTGACACGGGGCCCCGAAAACCTTGTAAATGCTAAGCGGTAGGAGCACCAGCAGCATCTCTTGTCCTATTGAGGTGACGCTGGGTGGGCTCCTGGTGGGGGCTGGGCACCAGCAAGACAAGCCACGGTTAGGAGCTTGGAACTCTCAGCCCCAGCTCCCTCCCAACTTCTCCAGAGAAGGGAAAGGGCTCGAAATGGGATCTCCGATGGTGCCTGCGCCAGGAAGCCTTCATTGGGTTTGGAGACCTTCCAGGTGGGTGACACACCCCCACGCCACGGGGAGGGAAGCTCCTGCCTCCGGGACCCGCCCAGGTCTCGCCCTGTGCCTCTCTTCACCCGCCCGTCCACCTGCCCTTCATCACACCCTTCCATGAACTGCTAAGTGTGCTTCCCTGAGATCTGGGAGCCGCGCTGGCACATTAATCACACTCGGGGAGGGAGTCGCGGGAACCTGGGTGTGGGTCAGAGGCACAGGCGGGCTGGCCGGGGCGTCAGTTGGTGGCCACAGTTGTGGGACAGAGCCCTCGGCCCGTGGGGTCTGACCCCACCTCCAGGGAGAGTGTCAGGGTCAAGGTAAATGGTAGGACACCCAGCTGGGGTCCCAGAGAACTGCGTGGTGGGGGAAGAACCCCACACGTTTGGTGACCAAAGCGTCAGGCGTGGAGAGTTCGGGGAGGGACCCCTTTTCCCTAATGCTCAGGCCCTGGGAGGTGAGGCGGGAGCTGGTCGGGGGATACTGAGTGCTTCACAGCCAGGCCTCCCGGCCGCCCGAGCCAGGACAGAGCTCGCGGCTCATGTTCTGGTGCCGGGGGCAACGGCAGCCCAGACAGGACTCTGTGCGGCGGCGTCTCCCTCTTGGAAGGGCCTCAGGGGTCCCCCGGGCTACTCACAGGGGTAGCCTTTGCAGAGGACCTCGATGGGAGTGGACATCTTCTTCTCGCTGATCCGCTCGTACTTCTGGCGCTTGGTGGCTGCCTTGAGGCCCTGCCAGGGCAGGGAGCCCAGGTTGAAGTACATGAGCACGTAGCCCAGGCTCTCCAGGTCATCCCGACGGCTTTGCTCTGCAGAGGGGCAGGCGAGGGCAGGGAGCACCGACACATTAGCACGCATGCGCCGAACACGTCCTCGGCTCCTGGTTGCCGGGGCCGGGACATGCTCCTTGACTGAGGGGGAACAGCCCGCCCCGTGCACCCCGGGCCCCACCCCTTCCCCGGGCTTGCTGCAACCCTGTGGCAAACAGGCCATCTCTGGCTCCTCCTCCAGAGGAGGGACCTGAGGCTGAGCCTTCTCAACTCAATCTGGGCCTACTTTTCTTTGATGGTGGTCGGGGGGGGGGGCTAGTTTATCCAGGGCAGGCATCCATTCACCCGACAACTAGGGCCTCCTTGCTTGGCCCACCCTGTGGACAGGGCACAAGCTGTGGCATCAGACACAGCTGGGGTCAAATCCGGCTTTGGCAACTGCTGAGCCAACACCTTAAGCAACCCGTGTCACCACGTGAGCCTCGTTTCCCAGCCTATAAATTAAAAGCTGGGGGTGTGGTCGGGCAGGAGAACCTGCTGGGGGGGGGGGGGGGGGGGGGGGCGTGGCTCTTCTCTGAAAGGGGAGGACCTGACTCTGTGGGAGTCGGGGGAACATCCAGGCCGCAGGGCGCCAGGATCCGAGCCAGCAGCTCCAGGGTGCACGATGGTGCACGTGGCCCCAGGCCTGACCACTCACCGATGCCCAGGTGGGTGTTGATGGAGGCGTAGCGGGCAGTGCCAGTTAAGTTCTTGTTTTCCCGATAGGGGATGTGCTGGTGGGTGCGGGCGTCCCGGTACTTCTTGGCCAGGCCGAAGTCGATGATGTACACCAGGTTGCCCTTCTTGCCCAGCCCCATGAGGAAGTTGTCAGGCTTGACGTCCCGGTGGATGAAGTTCTTGGAGTGGATGTACTCAATGCGGCTGATCTGGGGGACAGAGGGAGCAGCACTCAGCAAGCAGTCCCCAGAGAGGCCTTCCCCACGTGCTGGGGGCCGGGCCCAGGCCCAGGGCGGGGGCTGGGTGAATGTCCAGGCCGCCGGAGCGGATGCCCAGCCCTGCTTCTGCTCCCAACCCAGCAGAGGGAGATTCTCACCGTGTATGTGGAAAACACATACACGGCCCTTGCCCTGGGCGAGGGGAAAAGAGGCTTGTAAGAGGATTTCAAGAAGCAGTCCGGGAGGGCTTCCCGGAGGAAGTGCCGTTGGAAAGCAGCTCTGAAGGGGGAGTTCACCAAGTCGGCTGCGAGTCCGAGAGGAGAGCAAGGCAGAAGGAAAGCTAAAGGCAAGGCCTGGAAATGGAGCTGGAAAGGCATCCAGGCCCCACGGAAGCCTCTCCTGCCTGGCTCTACGCCTTCCTCGGACCCGGGAGCCGGCGTCAGAGGCATCTGGAAGGCAGTTCTGGTGACAGATTGAAGGGGAGGGGGAGAGGGCGCTCCAATAAAGCCTGACCTTGGCAAGGGTGACAGAGATGACGCTCAAAGGACAGGCTCTGTCCCCTGGCCTTCAAAGTACACCAAAATCAGTGGACACACAGGCCCTTCTTTAAACAATTTATTAAAAAAACAAACAAACAAAAAACCCTGACTTAACACACATGCACACGGTATGTCCTCTGGCAGGCCAGTCCCTGCCGGGGCCTCCGCCTTCTGTACATCAAAGGCCTCCTCGGCGTGGCCAAGTATTTCCTAAACCTCTGAGTCTCATATCCTAAGAGACTGGCCACCCTGCTCACACACACACATTTAGCCGAAAATCGCAGGTAATATTTTTATGTTTTTACTGATTTCAGAGAAGAAGGGAGAGAGAGAGAGAGATAGAAACATCAATGGTGAGAGAGAATCATTGATCGGCTGCCTCCTGCACACCCCACACTGGGGATTGAGCCCACAACCCGGGAATGTGCCCTGACCGGGAATCGAACTGTGACCTCCTGGTTCATAGGTGACACTCAGCCACGGAGCCACACCGGCCGGGCTCTTTTTATATTTTGAGGAAGTTTTCCCCCTCGAGCTTATAAAGGGCTTCAGGAGCTCAGGATGCTGGGTGGTGGGCGCCCCCTCTGGTCCTGGCACTGCGTCCTGCTTGACCCCAGACAACCCAGCAGAGGGGAGATTCTCACCTGAGGTGACTGAGGCGTGGAGAGGCTTAGCTCACCTGCAGTCACCTCCCCGGGACAGGACCTAGGAGATCACAGGCTTTGTATCGCCTGCAGGCAGAGTCCCGGGCCCCACCCTGGAGCCCAACACAGCAGGTCTGAAGCTGAGCCTGGGCATCTGCATTAGACACCACCTCCCCATTTTACAGCCGATGTTAAGGTCCCAGTCTCGGAACCAGGCCTGTGCCACGTCCCCGTTTCTGCCTCCTGCTCCAGCATCCTCCGGCTGGCGCCCTGCGACCACTGGCACGACGGGGAAGCAGAGGTTGGGCGGGCGGTGGACTCACCATCTGGTCGGCCAGGAGCAGCACCGTCTTGAGGCTGAACTTGCGGGAGCAGAAGTTGAAGAGGTCCTCGAGGCTGGGCCCCAGCAGCTCCATGACCATCACGTTGTAGTCGCCCTCGGCCCCACACCACTTGATGGACGGGATTCCCACTGGGGGGCCAGGAAGGGGGGCTCTCAGGGGAGGTCCTTCCTGGCCCCAGACCAGCCTCTAGCCGCCCCTCCTCTCCTCCCCCACCCAGCCCTCCCCACCCTCCCACCCCCCCGCTCAGCCCTCCCCGCTGCCCACCGCCCAGCCCTCACCTCCTCCCTGCATCATCTTGTAGAACTTGCTCTCGATGTGCAGCTGGGGGTGCTTCGTTTTCACACATTCGAGCTTGATGGCAACTTCTTCACCAGAAGCGATGTTGGCACCTGCCGGGGGTGTGGGAAGCAAGGGTCAGGGTCCCCCTCGGCAGGGCGGGCGGCTCTACACCAGCACCAACTGTGCCTGTGCCTGAGCCTGAGCGGCTGGCTCAGTGCCCTTTGGGCGGCAGAGGGCTCAGCACTGTATCCGAGGGAAGCGGAGGGAGCTGTGGGGCACAGAGGGGCACCCGAGCCAGCTTGGGGCGGGGGGTGGAGCATAACTACAGCAGCACCGGAGGAAGGGGTGGGGAATGAGGGCCGATTCAGAGAACCAGGGGCCGTGCTGCAGAGTCCCGGTTCAAGGGGGGACAGGCGGGCTACAAAAGGCTCACAGACCACGTGAGGGGAACCTTATCCTGGAGGGTGGGGGCCACTGGGGTATCAGGCTGTGGAGGAGAGAATGGGGTGGGCGAGGCTCCACTTCCCCAGCGATGATAATGGGTGGGCCGTGTGGAAAGGCTGGGGCTGGGCTGAGAGTCAGTCTCCTTGTCCGGCCAGCCGTGACCACAGCTGCTGTAACTAACACAGTGTGGTGTCAGCACAGACAGACAAAGCAGGAAGTCTAGCGGGCACGGCCACTGGGAGAATTCAGGAGGACCAGGCTGGCACCCCGAAGCAGGGGACAGGATGGGGCTCTGCAATCAACATCCTGGCACACCTGGCTAGCCACGTGAGAGTCACCCCAGCTCACGGCGCATTCCAGAAGAATCCCAAGTGGACCAAAAGTTTCTATTAAAAAAAAAAAGTTGGGGTGGCCCGACCGGTGTGGCTCAGGGGTTGAGAGTCAACCTAAGAACCAGGAGGTCACGGTTCAATTCCCGTCAAGGGCACACGCCCGGGCTTTGGGTTCAACCCCCAGCAGGGGGCATGCAGGAGGCAGCCAATCAATGATTCTCTCTCATGATTGATGTTTCCATCTTTCTCCCTCTCCCTTCCTCTCTGAAATATATAAAAACATACATATATACATACATATATATATATAAAAGCAGGCTAGAAGAGGTCAATCGGGAAAAAGGGGGTCATGTGTAATACTTTCAACAATAAAGATTTAATTTTTTAAAATAAGCATATCCTAGGATGAGGATAAATAAATACCTACATACATACATTTTAAAACGGTGGGTGTAAGCTGGCCCAGCCCCTTTGGAACCAGCTGGCCTTTACCTAGTAAAGTGAAACACGCATGACCAAGCAAGCCAACGCCCAAGTGCATGCCCTTCAGAAACACGAGCCCCGGGAGGACGCGGCAAGAGTGAACACAGCACGGACGACCCAAACGCCCACCAGTGGGAGCGGCTCAGTGGTGACGCAGTCATACAGAGGAACGCCACGGGGGGGGGGGGCGAGGAGATGACGCTGCAGGCACCTTAGCACCGAGTACCGGAGAGCAAGGAGGCTCCATGCACAGCGCCAAAAGGCGCCCACAACCCAAGTGGCCGTCGATGGACGTGCGGATAAAACACACGTGTCTACACAGGCAGTGGAATATTACTCAGCCATAAGAGGGGATGACGTACTAACACATGCCACAACACCAATGAACCTTAAAAACATGTTCAGTGAGTAAGCCAGACACAAGAGGACAAAATACTGTATGGTTCCATTATACGAAATATCCGGAACAGGTCAGTCTCTAGAGAAAGAAAGTAGATTGGTGGATGCCAGGGGCGGGGGAAGGGGACAGGGGCGTACACCTGGTTAATGGGCACCGGGGTCCCTTTCAGGGTGATATGAATGTATCAGAGCCGGGCTGCACAACACCGGGAATGTATCAATGGCCACTGAATCGTGTACTTTAAATGGTTACTTTTGCTCTGGCCGCTGACTCAGTTGCCTCCTCCGGGACACCACAGGTGGCAGCAGGTTCCATCCTCAGTCCATTAGGTCAGGGTGCATAGGGGAGGCAACCAATAGATGCTTCTCTCGTACATCAATGTTCCTCTCTCTCTCTCTAATCAATAAACATAACCTCCCGTGAGGATATTTTTTAAAAGGTTACTTTTATGTCATGTGAATTTCGCCTCAATTATTTTTTAAAAGGAGGGAGGGAGAGACAAGAGGCAAGCACATTTTGTCTAAATTTCAAAAAAACGCAACACCAGTTGAGCATCAACCTACAAACCAGGAAATCATGGTTCAATTCCTGGTGGGGCACCTGCCCAGGTTGTGGGCTCGATCCCCAGTGTGGGGCGTGCAGGAGGCAGACAATTAATGATTCTCTCTCATCACTGATGTTTGTATCTCTCTCTCCCTCTCCCTTCCTCTCTGAAATCAATTAAAAAAATATTTTTAAAAATATCAACAGCAGTTTCCTCTGAGGGGAGAGGAGGACAGGGAGGAAGGGGTGCCAGGGGCCCTCACGGGGGACAGGCAGGCCTCCTCCAACGGGGTGGTGGGAAGGGTGCCTGACACCATGCACACACTGTATACGTGTTCTTTTGTATTTACTCAAAATTTAATAAAAAAATAAAACAATGCGGGGGGAGAAATGTTAGAACAAGAGGAAATTGCCTTCTTTTTTTAAACCTCACCTGAGGCTATGTTTTTATTGATTTTTTTTTAGAGAGAGCTAAACATCAATGTGAGAGAGAAACACCAATCGGCTGCCCCCCATACACGCCTCAAGAAGGGATAGAACTCATAACCTGGTGGGTCTCCAGACCAGGAATCCAACCTGCAACCTTTTGGTGCAATTAAGCCTCCCAGCCAGGGCAGGAGAACTGTCTTTTAGTTTGGGGGTAGCCAGGGCTTTTTATCCCCGACTTAAAATCCGGAAGCCACTAAAAAGGGAAAAAAAAAAATGGCTTCACCTCCAAAAAAGGAATCCCTTCTCCATGGCAAAAATACCAGAAACAAAGTCCTAAGAAACACATACTCGTAACCCTTCTCAGTGGCGAGGAGCTAACATTATGTGGCTAATACAGTATAACCAGCTCCGAGAGATCGGTGGGAAAAAGCCCAAAGACTCAACAGCAAATAGGGTAAAGGATCTGAACAGACACGCCACAGAGAAAGAAATAATTAATGTAAAAATGGCTTACTCATAGGAAAAGATGTCCTATCTACCTCCTTGTAAGAAAAATACAAATGAAAATGCTCCTAAAAGACCACTTTCCACCTACAATTGGCAAGAGCCCCACCAGAAGACGACAGGATGCCCGTTGTGAGGCTGTGGGCAGTGGGCACCCCTCCCCCGGGGGTCCAGGCGAAGCGAAGGTCCCTGCAGGGGCGACGTGCCACCACCCAGCTCCCACTTTGGAGATTACTGGTCACCCCTGCAATACGAGGCCCGGACCAGGCTGCCCACTGTAGGCCGTTTGTAACAGCAAAAGCCTGCAAACAACTGAAATGCCCGTCATTCTGGGGCCCGGTTATGTAAAGAATGGGCCATCCATAAGCCGGACTACAATGGAGAAAGAATGAGGAAGCTCTCTGTGCAGAAGTAGAAAGATCTCAAAGATACAGGAAGTGAAAAAGCTAAGTACAGAACACTATGTATCCTATGCCCTCTTTTCAGTACAAAAAAAAAGAAAAAGAAAAAAAAAGGCAAGGAAATAATATGTGTCTATGTTTGGTTGGATCTATATAAAGAAACACTGAAAAAAACATGAGAGCCAGGGAAGACATTGCACTGGATACTATGTTATGCGCGATCATTCTTTTCCGCACCTTTGTTGAGATGTAACTCACAGACTGTACAATTACTCCTTTCAAGTGTACAATTCAGTGGTTTTTAGAATGTTCACAGGATTGTGCAACCAGCCCCACAGTCAATTTTAGAACATTTTCATCATCCCCAAAACACTCTTACCCCTGAGTAGTCAACTCTGCACCCCCCCCTCCCCCCCAACCCCCAGCTCCAGGCAACCTCTAATTAACTCGGTCTCCAGGGATGGGCTGTTCTGGACATTTCTTAGAAACGGAATCATACAATATGCGGTCTTTTGTGACTGGCTTCTTTCACTTCGCATGTTTCTGTGTCTTGGCTTTTGGGCTTGTGTGTTTTCATTTTTGAGCCACATAAAATGAAGTTAAAATAAAAAAAAATAAACAGATTACTAAGCCCATGAGCAATGGGAGAGAAAGTGCCTTGCAAACTATAAAGTGCTTTTGACACATCAACCTTCACCGCTGGGGGAGCGCACACGTTTCCGGGGATAGTGAGGCTGTGGCAGGGAGGGGAGCTGGGCTCGGCGCCGTCCACCAGGCTGGCCATGCCCTCTCCCCGCCCGCACAAGAGCAGGAGAGCACAGCAGTTAAGAGTGTGGGCTCCCGCGCTGGCCGGTTTGGCTCAGTGGTTAGAGTGTTGGCCCTGGGGCCGAAGGGTCGCAGGTTCAATGACGGTCAAGGGCACGTACCTTGGTTGCAGGCTTGATCCCTGGACCCTGGACCCTTGCGGGAGGCAACCAATAGATGTGTTTCTCTCACATCGATGCTTCTCTCTCTCTGTTTCTCTCCCTCCTTTCCATTCTCTTAAAAAAAAAAATCAATGGAAAGAACACCCTCGGATGAGGATTAACAACAACAAAAACAGTGCGGGCTCCAAGCCCAAATCCTGATTCTGCCACCTCCTAACCAGGGGACCCCGGCAAGTCACTTTACCCCTCTGCGCCCCAGGCACCCCACTTGTAAACTGGGGTTGACAGTACCCAGCTCATTATGGCTTTTGAGGTGCCAGCAGGCTTAGCTGCGCCTGGCGCACTGTGAAGTGCTCCAGGAACATTGGGTTTGGTGACCAGGACCAACCCCTGGGCTTCAGAGATGAGCCTGAGATGCCCTGACCATGTGTGGGGCATGGAAGGAAGGAGAGAGGGAACAGGCCTTCGGTGGGGGAAGGAGCGTCCCTGGACAGAAGGCTGTAGGGTCCCGACGCCTGGTCAGGGCTGTGCTGGACAGCGACCACAGCACGTGCAAAGGCCCGACAGGAGGGGGTGCAGAACCCTGAACTGCAGCTGAGGGTGACAATGAAAGAGGAGAGCAGGGCAGCGATCAGGTCTCAATGCCCAGCAAAGACCCTGGCCCTTAGCCTGAGACTCCAGGAGCCAAGCACAGATGCCTGCTCACAGGGTCTCTCGGCCTCCGAGCTGCTGACAGCCTCTGTCCCGGGCAGTGGAGGGTGTCCAGCAGCATCCCTGGCCTCTACCCACGAGGGACAGTAGTACCCCCTTCCTTGAGGAACAACATTCAGAAGTCCCCAGACCTTGTCACATGTCCCCCATGGGACAAATCCCCTTCTCCCCTCAGGGAGACCCATGAGTGTGAGGACTGGCCCGAGGGACCCAAGGCTGCTGCCCTGGTCCAGACAAGAGCTGACAGTGGCCCCACCCAGGCGGGGGCGGGGCCTCCAGCAGGGAGGAGAGGTGCTGGGGAGAGTGCCTGCCCCCCCGAGGTGGGGAGGTGGGGAGGAGAGGAGCCCTTTATGCCTCTGAACTCTTACAGCATCCTGCAAGCACTACTGCGTGTAGAAGCAGAGATGCCAAAGGTCAATGACTAAACGCCACACAACTTCTCTGGGACAGGGCCCAACGGTTAGGCAATCTTCCGACCCCACCAAGTGCTGGAAACCTGTCCCAGCTGGTCCCCAAGGGTCCCGCCCCTGGTCCCCAAGGGTCCCGCCCCTGGACCTGTGTGCTGCCTCCATGTTCTATCTGGACGCTGTCCATGTTTTCTCTCTCCCTGAGGCTCAGAGAGGTTAACTAACCGGCCTGAGGTCACACAGAACCGGTTGCAACAGAGCCAGGATTTGAAACTAAGCCCCAAGCCCGGCTGGTGTGGCTCAGTGGTTGAGCGTCGATCTATGAACCAGGAGGTCAGGGGTGGATTCCCGGTCAGGGCACATGCCCAGGTGGCAGGCTCGATCCCCAGGGGGTGTACAGGAGGAAGGTGATTGACAATTCTCATCACTGATGTTTCTCTCTCTCTCCCTCTCCCTTCCTCTCTCTGAAATCAATGAAACTGAGCCCCAAAGCCCTGCTTTGTTCTCTATTCCAATTCCCTAGCACCTCATTCATTCATGCAACAGACACATACCGAGCCCTGGACCAGCGAGGCAGTCCTGCCTGCAGCTCAGCTCACCTCTGTGGGAGGAGCCCAGGCTGACTGTGACCAGGTAAAAGGTGCCCGGGAGGGGCGACAGAGGTGCCGCCAGCTAGAAACAGGGGCCTATGGGGGGACAGTCTGGCCTGGAAAACAAACTTGGTCAGAGAAGGGCTTGGCCCTGGCCAGCGCTAGAGGGTCTGGGAAGTGCTAGCTGGGAGGGCTGGCCTCACACTGGGCGACTCAGACACCCACATGGACACAGACACAATCAGGAGCCGACTGGACCAGACGCAGAGGGCGAAGTCCCTCCATAGCCACCTGGTGGGAGCACCAAGCCCTCCCATTTAGAACCAAGGACCAGAGACTAAAAGGTGTCGCGCTCCCAAGGGCACATGGCCAGTGGCTGGCAGAGTGGGCACGAGCTTGGACAGCTCTGGACCCCGTGCAGCCAGCTTGAGGCCCTAACAAAGCCAGCCCCACTCTCCCGCTGTCCCCCTTACGATGTTGCCGGGCGTGGGGAAACGGACCGAAGAGGGGCTGGGGGCCTCGCAGCCGCATCCACAGTGTGTGCATCCACAATGTGTCCGTTCGCCTTCGGGGATCCTGGGAAGCAGGGCCTGGAGGCCGCGCCCAGCCCCACCTGCAGAGGCCATCTGGAGTCAGGCCCTGGCGGCAAGAATGTGGCCAGAGCTTTGAACAAAGGGAACTAGCAAGGCCAGCCGGGGAGGCCCTACAATCACCACTGTCCTCGCGCCAGCAAGACAGGGGCCCAGGAAGGAGTTGGCGGGACAGTGTCAGACTGGGGCCCCCATGTACCCAGCGAAGACCGGACAGCCAGGGAGAAGGGGCTCCCTCCCTCCTCCTTGGCCCAAGAGGACAGTAGCAAATTCCAACTAAGACCGAGGGATGGGGGACACACGAAAAAGCACTACTACTGGGCCGAGCATGCGCAGGTGTTTCGCGTGCTGTGATCTAGCTCATTACTTCTCACCGCTTTGGAGGCCTCGCGCCCATTTTACAGATGGGAAAGCCAAGGCTGTCAGAGGTCATCACTTGCTCAAGGGCACACAGCTAGTAAAAGAAATGCCAGCACCCAAACCCTGGTAGGATTTACTCCAGAGCCTGTACAGCAGGAGGAAATCTGGCCGTAGGGTTTAAAATGAACTAGATGAAACACAAAAAAGTAAAAAGAAATAAAACAAACTAGATGACTACTAGATAAACAGCAAGTCCTGCCCCCGGGTTGGTCCTGCACGTGGACCAGGGGCACTGGCTTTCTGAGTGACCCTGGCCTGGCCCTCCCCCTCTCTGGGCCTCAGTTTCCCTTTGGGAAAAAGAAGGCTCTGGACCGGGGGCTGTCTGGGAGCAGGTGTGCGTCTGTGCCAAAAGCTGCCTCTCGGTGCCCTTTGCCCTCAAGCCAGCGGTTCCAGGCTTCAGTCCTGAGCCCCAGAGCCTGGTGGTAAGAGTCCTTTATACCCAGCCCAATTTCACAAACAGGAAGGGTACGGGTACCCCTTTCACAGGTGAGAACGCTAAGGCTCAGAGAGAGAAAGTGACATCCTGTCACACAACAAAGGAGGAGAGACTGGGGGCCGGAACCTGGACCTGCCCCCAAGTCCCAACCCCCTTCTCCCTGGCTACATGAGGCCGCTTCCCATGCCTGCGCCCGTGCCAGCCACTTCCTCCTCCATCCACTGGAGAAGCTTCACTAAACACCCACTTTGGGCAAACCACATGCTGGGCTCTAGGGACAGAGGGTGGAAACAAACCAATGCCTCCTGCCCCAGAGGAGCTTGGCGCCAGAGAAAAACCTTTAAAACGACTGCACACTGCACTGCGCCTTCCTCCCCTCTGCGCCCAGCAGTGCTGAGAGGAGGGTGAGCTACCGTGCGCCCGGCTGGCACTTCAGTTACGACGCTTCCCCATGCCACGCGTCGTGCCATTTCTGCTCCTGACAGCCCGTGGTCAGCCAGGCGGCAGCGTCACACACAGTTTCTAGTGGGGACACAAGCCCAGAGCAGCCGCACAAAGCAGGCCCGGCACCCACGCTGTCTGGTGTCTCCCTCCCACGTTCTGTCTTCCGCGCTCCGTCCCTCAGGTGGGGGGCTGTGGGCATAAAGGCACCGTGGGGGCCACTTAGCCACGAAGCTCCTGCTTCTCCACGTGGGAATGGGGACAGCACAGTGCCACCGCTAGCACTGCTGGGACAGATCACGCTGTTCAGCACGAAGCATGCGAAACATGCGCCGAGACCGTGTGCACTCCCCCTCCCCGGCCCTCTGACAGGGAGGGGTGGCTCCCTGGTTAGCAGACTTCATACCCTAGAGCAGGGGTCCTCAAACTACGGCCCGAGGGCCACATGCAAATACAAATATTGTATTTGTTCCCGTTTTGTTTTTTTACTTCAAAATAAGATATGTGCAGTGTGCATAGGAATTTGTTCATAGTTTTTTTTTTAAACTATAGTCCAGCCCTCCAACGGTCTGAGGGACAGTGAACCGGCCCCCTGTTTAAAAAGTTTGAGGACCCCTGCCCTAGAGGGTGGGGACCTCCTCACCCCAGCTCTGAATCCAAGAGCACAGCACACTGACGGGCCGTCTCCTCCTTTCCCAAGGACACGGCCGGGAGTGAGGAGAGACAGGCGCTGGCCGCCTTGCTCTGGCACAGTGGCTCTCAACCTTCCTAATGCCGCGACCCTTTAATACAGTTCCTCATGTCGTGGGGACCCCCAACTTCATTGTTACAAACTGAACATAATTAAAGCACAGTGATTAATCACAAAAACGATATGTAATTATGTATGTTTTCCCGATGGTCTTAGGCGACCCCTATGAAAGGGTTGTTCGACCTCCAAAGGGGTCGCGACCCCACAGGTTGAGAAATGCCGCTCTAGCAGCTCCAGTTCCCAATTACCCACAGGACTCCTCCTCCTGCAGCCCAGCAACCCCCAGGAGGGCCCCGACTCCAGACCGGCCCCTCGGGTGGCTGGGAAGTGGCTTTTGAAGGCTGGCGCCTCTGCCTCTTTACTCCCGGGCAAGACCCGGCCAGATGTCAGTGATTTGTTCTAAACAACAAAACTCAGACTTTCAGCAGGAAGCACATCCGGAGAGCGAGAGCCTAGAAGCTGCGACCCCTGCCCTGCCCCCCCCCCCGCCCCCTCAGGCTAGTGGGGAGCTTGGTCATTCCCAAGCCTGCCTGCGCTGAGTTCCCGACCCCTGCCCTGCCCTCTCCCCCTCAGGCTAGTGGGGAGCTTGGTCATTCCCAAGCCTGCCTGCGCTGAGTTCCCGGAGGCCGGACCCCAGGGAGGGGCCTCCGCGGAGCCAGCAGTGGCCCAGGCCTCTCTGTCCACCACATCCTACTCCTAGGA